CCTATTCTTAGTAACACACATCCTCCCTCATAAAGAAGAAAAAATGCCTTAACTAAATTATGGACTAAAAAAATAACCCACAGCTGCCTATACACAAAGATCTCTTAAACCCAGCACATCCAAGATTAAAAACTAGACATCCCATTTGGAGAACAGCAATTCAACTTGACCAAGACTCAATTAACATCCAAGATGCCTGGACACGAGTGGCTCGATTCACCCCTTAATACAGAATTATTATTACAAATCCCATCATTGGACTAGCTGGTTTTCATTTCCCTAGACATCTTTGGTCTTCTCTAAACTGAATCAGGACAGGACACAGAAGATATGGATTTATGTTACATTGATAGGGATGAACTAACACACCGAACTACAACTGTGATACCCCTTTTCAAACTTTAAACCACATCACCTCTGAATGCCCTCTCCATGCATTTAATGCAACACTATTGGATTTGTGCAACACTACACCTGAGGCAATCAGATGACTACAGATTTGGACATAAAATTGTGAATATGTTTTTCCTTGTTTTATGACCGTTGTATAGGCTAAAAAAAAAAAGAAAACAAAAAGCTGGTGCAAAATGTGGCAGCCGACCTTCTGATGAGGATGGGTTGCCAGGAACCCATAACTCCAGTGGTTCATAATCTGCATTGGCACCCAAAGCTTTCTGGGTGCAATTCAGGGTTCTGGCTTGACCTATAAGGCCCTAATCCATCTCTTGTCCTATGTACCTAAGGGACTACCTTCTCCCTTACACCCCATCTCAATCCCAGACATCAGCCAAGAGCAACCTCCTGCAAAGTGACGTCAATATACCACGTCTGCTTGGTGAAAACACACAGAGTGTCATTGATGGCCATTCTCCGGAGGTCATACACCTCAGCTTCAGAACTCCATCTCTCTTGAAGCCCAATGGAGCTCAAGCCTAATCACCTTTGAGAAGCAATGTAAGACTTTCCTATTTGAGCAGGTATTTAGCAAACAAAGCTAGGCTGAGATATTTTTTTGATATTCTAGCTCCCTTTTAAGTTATTCTGTTCTCTTGTCATTGGCCTGTTTTATAAGTTATTCTGTCCTCTTATTGTAAATTACTCTTTGTTGGGAAGGGTGGAATTAAATAAATAAATATGAAGTATTCCTCACTTAGTATCTTTTTGCTTTCCCTTTGGATTTGACTGGAGAGAAAACTTGTTTAAAATTATAATAAAAACACACCTGAACAACTAGAAGGAAATTATTACAAATTTAAATAGTCCTCCTATAAAGTAAATAATAATCTTCAAATTGCAAGAGGTATTAGGCATATAATCAAAATTCAAAATCTAACAAACTAATGTCTGTACCTAATATTATAAGCCTTTCATTTTGTACTGAATGAATATATCACTGTACAAAAAGTCTTTAATTGTTGTAATCCTGTTCAGTTAAATAAGGTAATATCTAGTTGGAGAAGAATTAGACTCCAGGCCTGAAAATCCACATGAGAAACTGCTTATTCCAGTTAATGATTTCTTAAAATAATGAAGGATCATAGTCGGTAAAACAAAACTGTTCTTTGACACACTAGGTTGTGTACTGGTTAGGGTAAAATAAATGTCAGAAAATCTTGATTTATTAACTGGCATTGCATAAGTTTTATGAACAGAAATACATTTTCAGAATAAGTGCTAATTTTGATCACTTATGGGAGTCTGTCTTCATCCCTGTCTAAAATTTGACTTTTAGAAGTTTGAACACCTACCAACCTATTTCCTTTTCCTGCAAATTCTGACTTGAACTCATTAATTCTGACAGCCTTTTAGGGACCATCAAAAATAAAACCACTTCAAAAGGTAAGTCTTAACTCTTGTGGCAGTTTCCCTATTCATAAAATAAGTACTGCATCAGGCACTTCACTGTGTCATCATCTCTAATTAATCAATAGTTTAAATATTTTGAAATCCTTCAGTTAAAGGTGCTATATCTATATCTATATATATCTGTATTGGGAGGGAGGGCTAGAGTTATTAATTACTGACCCTACTCTCCATTCCTGTTACCCCTGGATTTTCCCTCCAGGTCTTGGTCTTAAGTGGTAGAATGGGGTGAATGGGAATGTACCTTGCCTCCATGGTAACTTGTGACAAGGGTTAGGTAGAGTCCCACTGGATGTGTTCATTGGGCTCCTCCCCTACACCCAACCCACACCTCTCCTGAAGCTTCAAGTGTCCTGCGTGCAGCTCCACCAGCCAATCTGGGTGTTTCACCTGTTCCCTGTGACTCCCTTGGGTTGTTGCATGCTGTGTTTCCTTCAGCTGTTTCCTGTTCCCAGCCTGACCCAGCTGTCTTCCCAGTCTGCAACCCAGGGCAGGCAGCCTGGGAGGACTTGTCTCATATGCTGCATTGCCCAGTAAGTGTTTGAGTTCCTGCTACAATGTCTATCTATATATATCTGGAGAGGGAGAAAGAGAGAAATGCTGGCTAGATACAGACATTAAAAAGCCTGAGGCAGAATCAATGTAAGGTATGCAGTTTTCTTAGGTTGACCATACGCTCAGTTTCAGGCAGGACGGTCCTGAATTTCAAAGGCTGGTCTCAGTCAGCTGTTGGGAATTATAATGGGCATCCCAAAAACACAGGGGTACAGGGTGCAGTCTGGGTGGGAGTCGAAGCAGTGCAAAGTGTCTTGCAGGTAGACAGGCTGGCCACCTACCTAGCATGCATCCCCACCCCCGCCAACTTGTAAAAGCATTCAGTGGGGAGGTAGGGGGAAGTGTCCCAGATCTCTCAGATGATGTCCCAGAATTCTGGGATTTCCATATGGTCAGCCTAGGTTTTCTGTAAGTGGTGTAATTTATATTGGTAGCAAAAAAACCCACTCTTTCACCATTTGGTGGGGGGTGCAAATCTTAGACCAGGTTCCACCATTTTTAAACCAGTCTATGTGTGCTGAACTTCTGTTCTGTTATGGGTATAGACCAGTTTCTGATCACTTATACCTAGGGCCTGGTTTAAATTGTGGGCCCAGCTCATGGTGCAGTGGCTCCTTTAATCTTGGAGTTGCCCCTACATGCCCTCCACCACTGATTGGCATAGGGGCCCCATCAACCCTGCCGCTTCCTCCTGATGGCTGGGAGGCAAAAACCACAGTTTCAAATATGCCGTAGTTTTTGCCTCCCATCTTGTATGCAGTAGGAAGTAAATAGCCCAAGCAGCACCAGCCAACACTGCAGGCTAAAAGATTGTGGCTTCTGCACATTTTTCCCCATTTCATCATTTATGGTTGACTAATTCTACTTTTGATGCCAAAAACAGAAACAAATAAATGACTGGGGAAGGGTAGTTTCAGTAAGAGGCCTCTAACACAGAAATTGTAGAGTACAAGTAGAACCAGGTGCAAGATTCATTTGTTTGGTTGGGTCCTTTACCCAGTGGTGTTGTTATACCTTGCCTTGTTTGGGTATAAGAGGTTCTTTCAGAGGTGAGAAGGATGCTTGGAGGTTGAGTTGTTATATAATGGTGACGTTCCATGACCTATTATGGAGGAGTTCTAACTTAGCCATCATAATGATCTCTTCAAAATCTTAAAATCTGTCAGTACTAATATGAATTAGTTCAATAGAATGTGAAGTATTATTGGGTGCATCTACACATGAAATTAAGGTGAAGCAATAAACTCTGGAGCAGTAAACTTCTCTTAGGGACAATGTCTACACATGCACCTGGGACAGCAGCAATTTGAGTTGGGATGGAGCAGAGCTGGGTTGGCAGGGGGTACAGGGAGTCAGCCCTGGGCTCCAGGTGGCAGCATTGGCTGGTAAGGGAGTTGGCTGGGACATGCAGATGCTAAAATGCAGAAATATGTAACTAGGCAGTAGATATGAGTCTGGCTCCTTGCCCAGTCACCATTTGCACTTATGTTTTAGTGCAGTAAATGTCGGATACTGCCCCCGACAATATTCTCTTAGAGTGGAGTTCATTGATTTATCATGCCCTAATACCGGTGCATATGTAGAGGGAGCTTCCTGTGGAGCTAATTGGTCTACTCCACAGGAAAGCACATATGTAGATGCACCCACTCTCTCTCCAGCTTCTAGTGGTGCAAACTGGTAGTAATGCTGTTGAAGTCACTCAAGTTGTATCAGTGTTAAAACTGACGTAAGAGGAAAATTACAGCCAAAATAAAATAAGGCAAGAAGGGTTTGCAGTATTGGTTCACATTTGCTGGTGAGAATTTTTCATCTTCCTTGGAAGCACCAGACATTAACTGCCAGAGACATTGGATCTGATAGACCACTTGTGTTATCCATACAGGAAATCCTTTTATTTTTCCTATGAAACAAGCAGCATTTGGGGAATACTTGGTACCTGATTTTTAAGATACTACATTTGCTATAACAGTTCTTCATTTTTATCATTTGTTGTAATTGCGAATGTCTCCTATAGCACAATCTGGGGGTTCTTTGACAGTAAATGTGACTGGTGTACCACAGGGTTACTTCACATGGCTTTTAAGTAGTTGTGCAGATACTATTTTTGGTGTGGGTTTTTAATGGATGGCATTAGTCATTCATGAATGAAGTTAGGTGATTTTTTTTCCCTCTTATAACTTAGACAAGTGAACATATCATGTGGCTGTGGTAATCATCTCTTCTATTGATTGGTTTTGGGGGAATTCTTAGAGTCTTTTGATTACTTTCCAGTCCAGGCATTTACACTGAGATGTGATTAGTTAAAATATTTGAAAGTATGCTAAAGTATAAATTCATTCAGCTGTCCTAGATGCTTCTTTCTGGTAGCATAAGACCTAGTCCCTTGAAATGTGACTGTATCCTTTAAGATGCCTCTTTTTTTTTTTTTAAAGGCTGGAAAAGGATGAATAACCAGTTGTAAGAACATTACTGAAACTGATAGTTTCCACACTATTCTAATGGATGCCAATCCTAGTTCATTTAATATCAGAATGGTAATGGTTCTTTCCTTTTCAAATATTGTATTTTCCACTCTGTTCTAGGTCAAAATAAAATCTGTTTTATTCCGGGGATGGTTGGACCAATCTTGGAGATGACTCTTATTCCAGAAGTTGAGCTACGAAAAGCCACAATCCCAATATTCTTTGATATGATGCTGTGTGAACATGAAAAGACAGGAGAATTCAGAAAGGTAACAGAACAAATATTATGCATCTTTTTAGTAGCTATGTTATTCTTATGACTATAATTAAATCTAAGTGTATGTTTCAAAAAGTTATCTGTGAACATTCATTAATATTTATTTAACTGCAAGATATCTTCTATTTTGTAATTATTTGCACAGTAAGTTTTCAGGAAGTAGGAGAACCCCAGGAAATCTTGTGTGATTTTGTGGAGGTTCACCCAAAGTGACTTATTTTATCTCTTTTCATATTAATAAAAAAAAGTTAAATCATTCAAGGAATAGACAGAAACAATACCAAGTTATTTAAAATTCCATAAATCATGCAGCAGAAGTAGCAAAGGTAGAATATACAATGCCTGAGGTATCATTTCACAGTGAAAGGTTTGCATAGGATGAAATATTATTCAAGTTGGTCAGCAATCCCAAATTGTTTTGCCTGGTGGAAAAAATGGAGGGGAGAAATCCCTTAAAAAATTAACCAATGATTTGCTGTAAATGAAATAAGATAATGGTCAAAGTGTATGTGAAAGAAGCATGAAGAACTGACTTCTCAGTTCTTCAATTGTTTTCCAACCTATAAAATTGAGAACAAAATGTAAGAAGTTTAAGTTTTATCCATGGAAAATATCTCTTTGAAATGAAGTTTTCTTTTCAATTTTTTCAGTTGAAAAAATAAAAACAGTTGTCAACATTGACTTTGCCAAAGCCAGTTTCCAACAGAAAAATTCCAGTAAAAAGAATATATACCCATTGTAATTTATTTTTGTCAGATAGCAAACAAGCATGCTTCTCTCCAAGTTGAGTGGAGTTGCAGACCCTCTGAGGGTAGAGTTAGCATTCAGAATTACCTTGGTAAACTGAAAAAATGATTCAAAATTAATCAAATTAAATTCAATAAGTATTAATGTCAAGTCCTGCACTTGGGATGGAAAAATGACATGCCTAAATACAGACTGAGGAATGAATGAAAAAGCTACAGTACTGCAGAAAAGGACCTAGGGGCTATAGTGGACCATAAACTGAATATGAGCCAATAGTGTGCTCTTGTGGCGAAAAAAGGGGGGGAAAAAACCCAAAAAAACAAAACCTAATAGTCTACTGGGTTGTATTAACAGTAGTGTAACTTGCCAATAGTCATTTGGTAACTGTTTTCAAATGTATTAAGTGTGGTCATAAAGAGAAGGGGAGACGGACTGTTCCTTTGGTTGTAGGCAACAGGACAAGGAACAAGGGTATTACATTTCAGCAGTGGACATTCAGGTAGGACATTAGGACAAACTTCTTTTCTAGGGGGGTAAGCACCAACTAGTGGAAAAGGCTACTTAAAGATGTTGTAGAATCTCCATTGTTGGAATTTCTTAAGAGCAATTTGGGCAAACACTTGTCTAGAATGGTTTAGTCAGAGCTGATCCTGCCTTGTGCAGGGGATTGGACTACAGTACCTCCTGAGATCCCTTCCAGTCCTTCTTTCTTATAATTCCAGGGGATAGGAAGCTGCACTGGGTTTCAGGATTAGAATCCAGATCTCCTAACACCACTGCATTGCTATGCTTGGCTGTCAACAAACCATTCCAAGGTGGAATTGGAAGTGCTGGACTAATAGGTTTAAAATCACATTATGGGATTCTTGCAAGGATGGCAGTGGCCATATGACCAGAGTTCAGTGACTATATAGCCAACAAGCTGGATTATCAGGTTCCCTGGTTAGTACTATAGAATGAAGAGAGGGATGACTCAAATATAGATTCATCATTCCCTGGTGTTGCCATAGACCTTCTGTAGATCCATAGGCTAGTCACTTAATCTATGTCCCTTGTTTTTCCTTCCTCCTGTCTTCCTTGTCTATTAGACTGTAATAGCCAGAATAGTGCCTTGCTCAATAGGTTTTGGTTTGTATATATATTACACATTTAAGTCTATATTTATGTTTCAATTCATATAGGATATTTTTTAAAAATATCAACAAAACCTAGAAAAAACTGGCAGATGAGATTTCCATTTTGGCCAGTAGTTAACACAAAGCTTTTGGCCTAAATCCAAGATTAAAAACTGCAGTTGCATCTGTATACCTGTTCTGTCTATATCCTAATAGTCCTATATCTGTTTTCTTAGGTATGTTTTCCTATTCTTGGCTTAACTGTATCCCTTGGGATAGATACTTAAACCTACAAAAAACCTGAAAATATATCAGTCAATCTAACTGATTAATGAGGGCAGTAGTTTACGAGCCTCAGAGATACCAGGTACTTGGATGACCCCTAAACTAATTCTTATGAAGATATGAATACATTTCAGGTGATTTTATATGAATGTATGTATAAAATGCCAAGGAAAAGGACATTCACTTTAGTAAAGCTTAAGAATAGTTGCTTAATAGTTTTTATTAGACAGTCACTATTAGAATCATAATTTAACACTTCGTTGTGCTCCTTTGGATTTTAAATATTAAAACCACTTCTTTGAAAAAATGTTTCTTCTCTTAGTCTGTATAATTTAAGTGGCATATTTTAAGAATAGCATTTAAGGAATCATATTTGATTTTTTAGAAACTCTGAAAAAATATGTGCGCTAGAATAATCAGTATTTTAACTCCTCACTTAGAAAAGTGAAAGAATCAACATTAATGGAAAATAAAATTAATCTATCACTATATTCACGCAATTAAGCTTTCACGTTATTAATGGATCATTTAAAATTAGACAGTACTTTGTGTAAAGCTAATTATTTTCTTTCAAAGGTCAAATATGAAATTTTCAAAATCTCTTAAGTCCCATTAGGTCCATTTACAGAAGTATGTTAGGACATGTGTGCTTTGTTCTACAGTGTTTGAGAGCACGGCTGGGAAGCAGTGCCCTTCCTACCCTCTCCTACTCTGTACGGGCCAAACCAAGAAATGAGGAAGTAAAGCCTCAGGATGTCCCTACTACCACGGTCAAACTCTCTGCTTCATATGTTTGTGAGCAAAGGTAACTTCACCACCCTGCTTCCAGGTTTGGCACATACAGAATGGGAACAGGTAGGCTGAGCCATGCTGCTCGGAAGTTCTTGTGAGAACTGCAGCTTGTAAGAACTGGTCAATCTTACTGGCGCTTGCTAAAGCTCATTGGTTTTCATTCAAAGGCTTCATTTGTAAATACACAAATCACATTTGAAAATGGAACTTTGGCTGCTTCACCTAAGTACTTCAAAAAACCCTCAATTCAGTTAAAGATATAAAGACTAGCAAGGCTTTAAATGGTAATATGCTATAGGTATTTGTAGAATTATTGTCTTGCAATCTTTTGTAATCAGAATGGAAATTATGCACATGCATGGAGGTAATTTTATCTGTGCTATTGTTTGGAGTATCTACAGTCTATCTTTGTTTGAAAGATCAAACTCTATATTCTGGCAGAACCTTCCACTGAAAAGAATATTATTAGAGAGACCCACTAGTATTTGCCATAACTGATTGCTAAAGCCTTAGATTAAGAGATACAAAAATAGCTTTTAGTAAAAATGAATAAATAAAAGGAAACAGTGTAGTTCCTTGTTGAGTAAATAGAAACATAATTGAAATATACATAGATTTAAGTTCATTTTAAAGATTTCACTTTGGTTTAGGACAGATTAAAATTTGGGCTGTCAATTAATTGCAGTTAATGCTTGGGATTAATGTGTTAATTGGTTCTTGCATTCATTTTTTAATGCATTAATCATGCATGTGGTTTTGGAGCCCGTGCCCGGGCTCTGCTCTGCTGCCTCCAGGCCAGCCAGCAGGGCAGAGTTGTCAGTGCAGAGGACCACAGGGCAGCCTGGGAGTAGGCTCCAAAAGGCTGCAGCAGGATTGGGGGGCACGCACAGACACAGATACAGACACACATGAGCAGCCCTAGCCTGCGTGCAGAGCAGCACTGCACTGGTAAATCTGGGGAGGTAAGGGGCGGGGGGCAGATCAAGGCCCCCAAACTAAGAGAGGGAGTGGGCCAGGGGCAGGGAAAGGTGCTGGGGTAAATACAGCCCTGGAGCCAGGGCAGATTATGGGACAGAGCTGTGGGAGGCTTGTTCAAGGATGCGGCTCCCCATCACTGTACGTGCCTCCAAGGGAGGTAGGGCAAGCATGTACCCCCGCTCCCCGCTTTGTGCACAGTATGGAGGTGGGCTGCAGGCTGGGGCTTTGCATCCTGCTGCCTTTGCCCCAGGAGCTGCGTGACTGCAGCATGAGAGACACATGGCATGGCCAGAGTGTGGCTCCCAGGCCAAAGGCAGCAGGGCATAGAGGCCCAGCCCATAGCAGGCAGCCTGCCTCCACCCTGTGCACAAATCAGGGGGCTCATGTCTCCCCCAGGGATGCACGCAGCAGCAAGGAGCCAACCCCCCCCCCCCCCTCAGCATCCCTGGACGAGCCACCTGCAATTTTGTCCCAGCACCTGCCCTGGTCCCAAAGCCCCATTCACCCAAGCCTCCACCCTACTCCACCCTCACTGTGGGAGTCTCGATCTTCCCCCCGCCCCTTCCTTCCCACACCTTATTTCCACAAACTTACCTGCTGGGGTATGCATCTGTCTGTGTGTGTGTCTCCCTCTCTCTGGCTGCCCCTCAATCCCAAACCACAGACCCCTCAGCCCTGCTGCTGCCCCTCATTCCTGACCCACAGTACCCCACATTCTGTCAGGGTGTGCAGGGCCCCCACTCCAGGGTCCAAACCCCCCACACACCCAGACAACCCCCTACACCTTCACAAATTCCCCCGCCACAGACACCCCACATCCACTCCCAACCATACAAAGTACCTGCATAATTCTGAGGTTTTAGATGTGCAATTAAAATCGTGATTAACTGACTAATTTTTTTAATTGTGCAACTAATCACAATCAATTTTTTAAATCATTTGACAGCCCTAATTAAAACACATATAATAGTAGTAGTAGTACTCTCAGTTCTTCAAATCCCAATATGTCCAAGGATTTGTGTAGATGTGCGGAACTGCCTCATTAGCAAAAACAAGGAACATTTCACCTATGGAA